CAGCAGGTAGATGTGCCCTGAGAAAAGCTTCTGGAAGGAGCTGTGGTCCATGGGAGACCCAGGTTGGATCAGTCTGTTCCTAAAGGACTGTAGGCTATGGAAAGGTCTGATGCTGGAGCAGTTTGTGAAGAACTGCAGCAGATGGGAAGGACCCCTCTTAGAGAACCTAATGTTAGGTACTGAGTTTAAAGTAAAAATACAAAAATGTTTCTCTGATTTATCTACAGCTATACAATTCAACTGAAGAACTAATTCTCAGCTCAGCTCATATTCTACCAGCAGTGTCAGATGCTAAGTATTTCCGAAATATAAGTATGTGGAACAAAAAGAAAAAGGCTCAACTTCTTTAACTACCTTTTCTGGTTTTTTGGTTTTGTGGTTTTTTTTTTTTTTTTTTTTTTTTTTTTTTTGTGTGTGTGTTTGTTTGTTTGGTTTGGTTTTGGTTTGGTTTGGTTTGGTTTGGTTTGGCGTTGTTTTTTTGTTTGTTTGTTCTTTTTATTTTATTTTATTTTTTTATGTTTCTGTGTGAATTTAAACATTTATGGTGAAATTCAGGTACCATGGGATTGAAAGCAAATTTTCCAGAGACTTCAACAGAAATTAATTATTCCACTTAATTTACATAATGATGAAAAAATCTGCTTCAAGAATCACCAAAAATAATAAATAACTGTGCTCCTTCTGTGAAGTATGAAGAGAGCTTTTTTCAACTGTTCAGTGATTTATGAGGGAGTGGATAGTATCCGGCCTTTCTTATTTGAAAAAAAAAAAAACCAACAAGAAAAAAACCAAAACAGTTCCACCAGTACTGTAATGTTGAGATTGCTAAAAATGTGCCTAAAAATAAAATATTCTAACTATGTATCCAGTTTATGAACCAGTATTCTATAATATAAGTTTAGAAAGTAACATGTTGCAGCGGTGGTGACAGAAACACAAACAAATGGCATTATAGCAAACAGTTTCACAGAGTAAATTTTACTCACAGAAAGTATGACTGATATCTTGGAAATGTTGCATTACTACATTGTGTAACAGTTTGCATAGAGCAGCAATAGAATGAACTACTTTTTACTGTGGCATATAGTTTTAGATCAGTTAAATGATTCAGTAATTTACCAGTATGTTATATAATAGTTATACATACAACAATTCAGAGAGTTTTTATAATGTAACCTCAAATAAAAAGAAATGCTGTTAACTACACTACAATAGAAAATAAATGTGTTATATCAGAGACAGTCACAAAATAGTCACTAAATTATATAATTTAAAGACAACTGCATAGTTGTAAGTCATGCAGAAGATAATACTGAATTGAGATACATGTACATAATGGTTGGAATGTATGATCTTAGAGGTCTTTTCCAATCTGAATGATTGAAAAAGAAAATTACATATTAGACGATTAGATATTAATACTGACATTTGTGGTAGCCCATTAGACTGGGATACATTTTTTCTGGATCCAAATTCCCTGTTAGGAGACAGACTGTAACTCTTGTGCTTTATTTTTATTACCTCTCCAACGCATCCATAGCCTGTCACCTAGTGATGTGCATTGCACCTGCTGTAAGAGTAATAATCAATGAGTTCAGGCACAGACATTTTCTGCAGTTTTCACCTTAGGCCCAGCCTCTCCAGTTTTCTACCAATTTTCAGAAAGTTTACACACATACACATACACATACACATACACATACACATACACTCAAATGAGTATGCTCTCAGATGCTGAATACAGTAATCCTTATTTAGACAGATATATGGAAAAATATGTTCAACAATGGCCTATACAAAATCCAGATTTTACTTATTAAAGTAATTATTTATGCACACATGAAAATGAGATATACAAATACTGGATATATGCAGAATTCTTCAGAGAATTCTTAAAATGGCATACAGTTTGCATAACATATTTGTGCCTATACAAATCCTGATTTTCACATCAAACAGAAGGGAGAAAAATTTTTTAAGAAGTCTTTATTGCTATGCCAAAGCCTTCATCTCCAAGGCCTTGTGCAAAGCTGAACTAGTCAATTTGTAATTAAATCTTACAGGATACAGCAGTGATACTCATTACAGAAAAGGCATTTTATAGTCAGCAATCTTATTTTCAACTAACAGGATGACACAAAAGTCACAGTTCACAGAAGCTTTATGTCTGTTATTTCATGCTGGAATAATGCTGCACAAACCAATTAGCCAGTGTAATAGTGTCAAGATGTATTTAAAGAAAAAAATGGATCTGGTAAAATGCCTCTGCCTTTCTCATATTTATAAGGACCTGTGCATTACCGAGACAATAGCTTTACATTTGAAGGGCCAGCCTTTTGGGGTACTAAGAAATAAATCTCATAAGGCACTTAGACTACATATAATTAGTATAGGATGGTATAACTCCCATTCCACAAATAAATTTTTTTTTTTACAGTTGGAAACCAAAACTGAATTAATAAACCAAAACTGAATAAAAATTATTAAAATTAAAGCCCTTCAGTTAATGCATCCATTAAGGTGCATGGAATGAGAGAATACAACAGTTTTAGCAGACAGCCGAATTAAGGCAGCAATGCACTGGTGGTAGTCTGAAGGTTTTTCACATCCATAAGTGTTTATAAGCATGTCCTATTTTTGGGGATTTTTTGTCTTTTTGCTTGAAAGAAAACTCATTCAGGAATATTACAGAAAAAGGAGAGGAAATGGGAGAGAAGGAAGATTAAAGGATTAATGAAAGATTTGAAGGGGGATGAATTTACTACCTTGAATTAAGCACTAAGTTCTGATTCCTAGAAAACTTCTTTCAGCAGATTCTTGTAGATTTCCAGGTAACTAAGATCTGTATAAAGTTTTACAGAGGAGTGTTGAATGTTCGTACAGCACATCTATTATTCAGATCTGTGAATAAGGCTGCCACTGGATTCTCAGAAAGCGATTGATTCATGCAAGTTCTACTAAAATGAAATTCTAAAATTCAATCCCATTTTTAAATGGTAAGTGAATTTCAAAAATAATAAAACCAAATAAACAAAATGTGTCGGAAACCGTCACATGACAAATCTTTGTCCTGTGACTACATGACTTTTCTAGGAAGATGCAAAGAACTTCATAGTGCTGCATCTCCGTAAGCCACCTCAGCAACTGGAAGTATGAATGGAAAAAACTATTTCGTCCCAGATCCTGACTACTAGCTCCTCTCTTTTTAGTCAGTGTGGAAGACAGTTTCAGCCTAAATCTGTAGATAAACCTCATTTGGATATTCACTTTACCTCTCACTTCTTTTATCATGACAAGGAATTTACTTTAGACTTTTATCAAAATATCAACAAATTTACATGGCAATTTCTAATTATATTCTGCTGTGATAGAGCAGTAACACTTTTTCCTCTTTTAAATATTCAATACTGTTTTAATTGGCTGAGCATTTCAGTTTCACATTTAAGCAAAGCAGTAATTTTTTGTATATTCAGCCAGGTATATTTGTGAACACTAAAGAAACATTACAGCAGGATAACATAAGTCAAAAAACCAAGACAACTGCAGAAATGAAAAAAAGTTAAAGTTGTTTTCAAACATGGAATTATGGAGGAGCAATTCTATTTCATTCAGCAGGAGGTATATACCTTCACCTCTTTCTTTTCTTTAGAAAGAAATGAAACAACCAGGTTTAAAGAAATAAAAAAATAGAAATATTGCTGTGGAATTAGCAGATAACCCATCTTTCTGATAGTTTATGGAGTAACAGAAGAAAATGGAAATTAGTGAAATACAAATTTCTACAACTAGCACTCTAACTGTAAATTTCTAGATTACTGATGATGTTCTAAAGAGCTAAGAAAATCAGGTACATTTTTTTTTCATTAAGTAGCAATGTAGTTAGAACAGATAAACTTCCTTTTCCTTGTGCCCAGTTTTCTTTTACTTTTCACGCATTACACAGAAAAGAACACATATGGGATAAGAAAATTAAAAAAATCCAAACCCATCAAATGAATTACACAAGCACTGAAATAATATCTATGGTATTTAGGTGACATTTTCCAGATTAAAAATGTACATAAAAATGTTAGCCAAATATTTTCATCTTAAAAGGAAAAACATTGTACTGTGTACAGATTTTTTGGTATTTAGCAAGTTTAACATCCTTAGCATTACATGCTCAGAAGTCAACTAACACAGAATGTATTACATTTCTAAAGGAGAAAAAATTTTGGCTTTTATGAGATGCTGTTTCTTGTTCAGTATTTGAAACTCATGCTTGATTTACAAGTGTTTAACTAGTTTCTGTTTTGTGTTCTTAAAAAAGAATTATGAATTTGACAATTTTAAAAGAATTATGTCTCCTTCAATGCTTTTAAATGCTGTATTTGTCACCGATGCTTATTAGATAGACACAAAACATTCAAGGTCATAATTTGACTTACAGATTTTTCATTTAAAATACTGTGAATTCTAAATGATTGATCTAATGAGCTGACTTTCATAAACCCTTAGTGAGTACCAATATAATAAAAAATTAATTTAACAGGGGAAGTGGTGGGGAAGGAGATACAGGAATAATTCTTAATCCATGCAGTATAAAGTCTTCATTTGGTCTACAATAAACTGTCCTTGTAAAGAGGAAAGAAACTAATTGCATTTGGTTTATGCTTCATCCTAGTATAGAACATTCACTTCTCAACTGAAAATAATGAATTGATTTCTGAACATATTTGACTGCTATAAAGACTGAGAGTAAAAAATTGTTATACCAGAAATGTTGTTCTTATGTTATAGTTTACATGTCCTTTATTGCATTAATTTCATACCACAAGTTGGGAAGAGGCAGTAAAATATAAGGAAGCATCTTTCTAATACTCTGTCCTAGTTATAGGGAAAGGAAACAGGGTTTAGCATTAGATGGGTGTGACCAATTATGTATTCTATCCCATTTTGCCATTTTTGATGGTCCATCTCTTTAAACACAGGAGGTAGAACTGTTTCTGTTGGAAGTTTCTATTCCGGCTGTTACTGTAGCCACCACTTCTGCCAACCCAGAGGGAAAAGATCCTACCAAGAGAGAAGGGCCCACCCTACCACAAGCTGCTTCAGGTGTTTTTCTTTCTCTGAGCACTTTTTGCCACGGCTGCAGACTGGTACCATTACTTTTTGCAGTGCCTGTTGCCTTTGGCTCACCCCACAGACTGAGCGAGAGCCTGCAGTCTGCTACTGCTGACTGTTCTCTCACCACATATGGAAAGTAAGTTGCAACAAAAATATAGTTTTGGTAAATGTGACCTTTATCCATTGAAAATGTGCTGATTGACTTTTAGAAAAAATGCATTATTTTAAAATTAAAGGTTATTCACTTTCAGGATTGGGAGTTCTAGAAGATTTTAGGACAGTCTTGGGCTTGAATACACCTACACAAAAATATGCCCTAGATTTATCTCTGTTGTTCACCAGCACATTCCCCTGACTCCAAAAAGAGAACCTAGTGACAAAGAAAGAAATTTAATCTATCTTTAATATATAATAATTTCAACAAAAAACATTGCTAGCAGATACTGAAAGACTCATTAGGAATCTTGACACAATGATTAGTTGCTTTTCAGTGGCTATATCAGTTGGAGACGTAAACTGTCCATCGAATGACTGTTATCTCTCTACATGATATTAAACAAAAATTCAGCTTTTCCCAAATAACATTAAAAAAACGTAATCTAGTGTAAAATCTCTTAATTAGTTGGAGGTTTCAGCTGCAAAGTTCCTGATAGAAATAGATGTATGAATACTGTTCCATCAGGTAGCATGGTCTTGACAACCCCTGAATGTGACTTGCTCCTAGTGGAAAGCAATTTAATGCTCTACTGCACATAGAATAGTATATATGAATGAAAAAAGAATCCCCAAAATAAACAAAAAAAATCTCCCACCAAAACAATTACTGACAGGTACACCTGAATAGGACTGCTTATTAGTCACTTGTCTGTAGCCAGGCAAGACTGTTTCACCTCAGTTTAAAAGATAAAGACTCACGGCAGTCTGTCTCTGCAAGTTCTCGTTAGGCTAACAGCCTCCACTGTCCATTAGAGGAAAAGTCTCCCTATTATTTAAGGAAATGTGACAGCAATGGAGGTGAAGTGATGGCAGGAAATTCATCAGTGCATTACTAAGCTTTTTGCTTTCTACAGCTTTCACCAGCCTCTTTCCACTGTTTTATCTGACAGCTCAAATGCTGCAGGGTTGTAGTCACAGCAAAGGTCAAGAACAACAGCAGGGCTATAAAACGAGATTCTTTCAGGGGGGAGGCTGCCAAGCACAAAAAAGTTTATTGAGCACAAGACAATGAGATGAGAGCTCACATCTCAACAAATTTATCTAAGTAGCTACCATTATTTTTGAAAAAACATTAAGAACCTTAAAAAAGATTTAGAACTTTTACATACTCTTGCTGCTCATACAAATGTGTTTTACTAAAGACTAACTTAATTGAGCATGATACTCAACTAAAAAATAAACAGAAAATGCCTTCTTCCTTTAATAAAGACAAGGTTTGCAATGCTACAACTGTCAAGTTTAAAGCTAAGAGTTTTGCTATGTCTTTAATGTTTCACAATCAGTGGTAACAATAAGGTGAATTTGAATTACCTTTCACAATGTCCAATAATATCTAGTATCTAGTCAAGGAACATGCAGAGACTATATCATGCTTTTTTAAATTTCCTCAACTTCAACTGCTCAACTTCAGTCTGTCATTCCCAACTCTTCTACCCACCCCATGTCCCCAAGCAGTGCAAGAGGAAGATGAGTGGGGGATCAGTCCACAACAGCCTCTCTGCCTCTCCATTCTCCTCACACTTTTCCTCTGCTCTGGTAGGGGTCCTCCATAGGCTGCAGTATGGATATCTGCACCATCATCTCCCTCTTTCACAGGCTGCTGGGGAATCCCTGCCCTGGAGCCTGGAGCACCTCCTGCCCCTGCTTCTTCACCAACCTTGGTGTTCACAGGTCTGTTTCTCACGTCTTTTTCCCCCATTCCACTCTCAGTGTGGCATTTTGCCCTTTCTAAAATCTGTTTTCCCAGAGGCTCCTCCACCTCGGCTGCAGGTGCGGCTGTGCCCCGTGGTGGGTTGCACTGGAGCCGAATGGATCTGACTGGGACAGGTCCGCGGCAGCCACAGCCTCTTCTCACAAAGGCACCTGCTGCCAGCATCTGTTCTGTTCAGCCATATAAACACATCCTTATCTTTTTTATTTAGCTTGTGTCATCAAAGATACGTCTTATACACAGGAAAACTAGAGTGAAGCGGAAATTGAGATCAGATTTTAAAAATTTGCATCACTGTGCCGCATAAGGTACATGTACGTAGTTTTCCCTTTTCATCTAAAGAACTTTATTATGTCAAAAAATTTGGACTCTTTCCTTCTCTCCTTGCTGCATAATTAATTCTGTCTGCTTTTATAATTTCTTTCACACTTCATATACCAAACTTCCTGTTGTTCCTTTACAGCTGATTTTCTGATTTAACATATTTGAGGAACTGAAGCAGCAGTACATATGATAAAACTGAGTAAAAGCATTAATTGAGCTCAGACATTAGTAACATGGATAGTGTCGCATCTGAGTCTGCCAGAAGTATCATGCATCCAGTTATTTCCAAACTAGAAAAACATTTGCAATCAAAAATACTGGTCAGTGTAAAGACAATTCTAATTTCAAAAGCATCTTTTCACCATTAAAGTCAAATTTTCACAGAATTTGCATAGAATTCTTCCTTTATATTGCCCACAACTCCATATTCAATCCAGTTTTCCATACTGCCAACCTGCTTCGTATCAGCTTCAATTAATTGTTCATGTCTACCTCCTGGCTGAATACAAGCCTGAATGCACCCCACATCTTGAAGATAACCCTTTCTAGTATCTTATTTTAGTGATACAGTTAGTTATCCTTCTCAATATATCCACTGACAAAAAAAGTAAAATTATAAATATAACAAATAAAATGCCTGCAAACTTTGTTAGCCCCAGTGATGGGAAAAATATACCTAAAACTGTAATACTGAGAGTGTACATTTTAATTTCTTATGAACACTACTATGCAGTAGAGAAGCATTTACAACTTGTATAGATGTGTCATTGTAAGGACAGAAACTGCATCTTTTATTAAATAAGGAAAAAAAATTGTAGTATTTACAATATTATGCCTTCGTGATTAATACTGAAAGCATGACTAACTGCAATACACACTGTAGAAAAAGATTCATTCAAACTTAAAATTCAGTCAGAAAATAATATTTAGATCAAAATTAAAACTCAAAGAATAAATCATCATTACAGTGACAACAAATGATAAGATATAGTGAGGTAATTCTTCAACGATTTTAACATGACTGATACAACAAAACAAAAATATACCTCAATTATATAAATAACTAATATTTGTGGTGAAACTGACCCTATTTGAAGAAGCTTTAGTACAATTGGTAGAATAAATTAAAGATGGCAGAGTCATGAAATACCTAAGTTCTAGCAATTTCTTAGAGGTACCACAACTTTTTATGATTGTTAAATATTTAACTATATTTGTGGTTCTCAAACCATGACAAGCATCAATCATAAAAATTCAGTCAGGTATTTTTGCAAATATATAATAGCTTTTCTGCTAACTGTTAAAAATTAATTTCAGATAAGGGTTGTATGAAATGCATAATAATACATAAACCAAGATGAAATCTAACTTCAAGGAATTTAAGGTATTGCAGGAAGTCACACAAACCTCTGCTTAACAGTACTCCATTCTATACCTGGGAAGAAGACCTTTAGCTTTCTTTTATAAATAAAAACATAACTTTATAACTGAAATAAATAAATTAGATAAAATAAAAAATAAAAATATATTTTTAGGGTTTAAAGAACTCAACTCAATTCTGTGTACTTGAAAAAGTATTGTAGTAAGAAGTATTTTATCTGTGGAAAAAAACCCCAATGGGCTGGATTTAATTTTTCTCAATGGATCTATATCAGGAAGTACCAAGAACATCATATTGAGTAACTTTGATAGTTTATTGAAAAGCTGCATAAGCTAATAATCCATGGCTGTGTGACAATGTCAGTGTCAGTGATAAGTGAACATAGCTTGCTATGATACATGCTGCATCCATCTGCAAGTGGGAGTTACCTCATGGAACTTTTTTAATATCAACTAAATAGCTGTTCATATTTTAATTTCAAAGCTCTGACCTATGGATAAGCATACTAGAAGGCTGTGACAACAGATAAAATTTAAGCTTTATGATGATGTTATTCAGATATTATGACAACATATCTCAGAGAACAAAAACAACACCCCAAATCTCTGCACATGTATATGTTAAGAAACATTACTGTGTCCTCTATCTTTAATACCATTGCAAGTATGTTGTAAACTCTTGAAAGCACTAAAAAGGAGTCAGAAGAAGGTCTTGAAGGTGTGAAGAAGGATAACTAGATTTCTTATTTACATGAAGTAAATTCTAATATAAATTTAAAACATCTCAATATCAAGGTTCACAAAATAGATGAAACAATTTCAAGACATAAAAACAAAAAGCAGCAAATTAGTTAAACTACATAACTTTTACTGTCTCAGGCAACTTATTCTGCTGTTGCTTTATAAGAAAGATACTTCATCTTCAGGTAAAGCTATATGGTCAGCCAGAATGATACTTGTCACATCAACTTTTTATTCTTCCACATCTGCATATATGATTGGAAAGAATGACTGAAGAATAGCTTTTCTCACACAGGAAAGTAGATGAAATATATACCTTCCTCTCCTGATTTCATTGTTAGAATTTGAAAGACATAGAGTAGAACAATGTCTATTCATTTTTGCTAAAATCATGGCTCAAAGATAGATTGACCTAATCATTTTAAGCCAATGACAAGAAACTTGATAGTCTAAAAGGATGAGAGAAATTACTTCTGGTTGAAGATAGCAAAGTGGGTGGATCAGCCTAACAATAGTTATCACAGTTCTTTCCTTAAACTATCTGTAAAAAAATATCATTTTTTTATGGAATGCTGTAACAATCCAATAAGTATGAAAAATACATTTTCTTGACTATATTAAATAATAGAGATTTATTAAGAATAACATTCCAATAATATCCGTGACTGCACAGGAAGTTTTAATTCTTATGTACCCATTAGAACATTCACAAATATACGGTGATCTTCTTATTTAATATTATGCACAATAGGGATTAGATAGTCTCTTCCTAAAAGTTTGAAACACAATTCTGATACTGTGTCTATTTTCACAAGTTGTGGATGATTACAAACAGTCAAAGCAATGAAGACCCTACAGCTAAATTATGTTCACTTGGATGGGAAGATTTTTATGGTGCTATAGTTAGTTTGACCATCTGGACTAAATACAATCCATGCCAAAATCCCGCAAGGGCCGAGAGCTCTCTCCAGGCTGGTGACAGTGGAGGCAACCCATGGTGGGAAACAGGACAGGTTCTGGCAGACACACTCTCCCAGTCAGGAACTGGGCAGCCAGAGGGCACTGTGGCAGTCTCAACACCTGCACTGGGCAGCTCCTTAGAGAGGATAAGGATCTGACCTAGTGAGGGGATACAACCCTGGAGTGACTATACAGATCTGTGGAGATGGACTCAGGACATCAGTCCACAGACAGAGTGGTATGAAACACCTTTTCTCACAACCACAGATAAAATTACACTTGAACCTTTGGTGAACCCAGTAGAGAGAAGCTGGAAAAGAAAGAATTAAGAAAAAAGAAAAATACAAAAAAAAAAAATAAAATTATAGTAGCTCAATAACAAGATACAGTAGGCAAGGAAAAGACAAGAAGAACAGGAAATTACATCAAGACAAGAAAAAAACCCTCTGTGGAAGACAAAGGATTTGGCTGTAAAACCTGAGGGCTGGTGACTGACAAATTAGTTTTGTCTTCATATAGAGCATTTCAAATATGATGAGAGTTCTAAGTGTTTTGAAAACTTTCTTTTTGTATGTGTGCTTGGTAGGCACTGAAGTAAGTGGTACAACCCCTGTATTTTCAGTTCTCCTGTCTGCCCTACAAGAAAGAACGGGGTGCTCTGCTGGAGTGGATTTTCCAGTTTATTTTAGTCTGAAAGTAATCTTGCTTATTATATACTTTGTAGTCAAAACCAAACGCAATAAATGAGAAGGTTTGAGAGGTTTATTTCAGAAGTACATTATTGCTCCAAACTAAAATATTAATGAAGATTCATCTTCTGTCAAATTTTAACTTTGGGAAAACTAGAATTAGTACTAGACAACACTCCCATCAATATCACTTTTCTCAGCTTTTCTGTTGTAGGGCAGTCCCTAGAGAAGCTATGAGCTGTCATCATCTTGTAAAAGCATGGAATTTATGAACTGTATTCAAATATTGGCAACACATACTGGCCCAAAGTCATGAAATTTGGAGAGCACAAGCAAATCATATTCAAAAGGAACAGACCCTAATATCAGATACTGTAAAAGTTCAGAATGAGACAAATAAATACAAAGGGACGTAAAATATCTCAGACACATTAAAGAAGAAACAATTGATCAACCGGACAGGAAAACTGCAAAATCAACACAATAGATGCAGTAACTTTAAAATAAGCTAACTCATCCACATAATGAGATATACTTTCCACTCTTCCTACTTTCCACCTTTGCTATTATTCAGTTTAATGTCAGCAGTATATTATTTATGAATATGCCATTATGAGGCAGCATACATAATTCTATTGTTAGATACCAAAACAATGAAGAAAAATTACTGTTTTCCACTTCCCTACTTTTTCTTTCAACTCCCTGTTAACAGAACAAAACTTCAATCAGTATAGTAATTTAAAAAAATATCAGTTAATAAAACCAAAACCATGAATCTATAAACCTAGTAGTCATAGAACTACAGTCAATTATTTTTAGTGATTCGGTATGACAAAAAAACCCACTCTCTATACTCTATATCAATTTAGAAAAATGTGTAGCTAGCTGAATGTGAGAAATATTTGTTTTCCTGAAACTATTAGGCAGTTATCTAAGAAAGTAGAGACACAGTAGTCCTTCCCAGTAAATTAAATTTTCTGACCTCAGCAAAACAAGACCATACACAGATATATACATTCTTATTAAAAATTAGGCAAAAACTCATAAATAACTGTGTGGACTTCTTGAATATGTAATTCCCAAAGATCTTTTAGAGAAATTATATCTTGAAAAACTATATACTATTTAAATTCTTGTGATTACTTTACTTCAGTTTCTGTCTGCAAATGGTCTGTTCTGTTCCTCTGTCCAACAGTTCAGTGTATTTTATATTTTGTTTGAGACATGGCTGCATTTTAGAATTGGATTAAATAATAACCAATATTCCACTTTATGTAAATTTGAAAAATACTTTGCAATGAAAAGTATTTCGCATTTTAACATGTGAAATGATACACAAGTCATTGTCTAAAATGAGTTTGTCTTTTGGAAGACAAAAGATATTAAAAGAATCGGGGATGGTGTTATGTATTTCCTTATCAGAAAGAGAAAGCAGGACATACTTTTTATCAGTGTCTCCATTATTCCTGGTTATTTCCAATGACCTTCTAATTTATTAGTTGTGAAGAATAACAAAAACTTAAACATAATTTAAAAAGGTAATGTAGATTGAAGACTGATCCACAAGGGTCTGTTTTACTTCACTATCAATACATGTAAAAATCTATTTTTACATGGAACACAATCCTTACAACAAGTCTTGATATCCAGAAGGGAACAATAGTGGCAGTCTGTGATCTCTGTTGCATCTCTGAGAATCTTTAGAAGTCTTATCATTGTAATTTCTGTTAATTACTTCTTGATGAACTCTGTCAAATTGAGTAATAGCAATATTCGTGGTTTATATGTTAGGAAAAGAGTTATCCATATCATGGTAATTTGATACAATATCTGATTTTTTTTTGACTTTAAAAAAAATATTTCCTTTATTGCTTAGCTGTAAAATTCAGGTAATTTTTATAATACAGGGATTATATGTAGCCATATGTGTTACCTGTTCATTTACAGTACTTTTTTTTCTGTTCAATTTTCCAGTGGCCAAAGTAGCATGTAATTTTAGAAATACTACTGAGCAAATTATTTTACCCAGTTGTATAGAGAGGGAGAAGTGAAAAATGTCAATTAAAATACTTATATAGATATCAAGAAAGTTTGCAACTCTAATAAAAATTTTCAACTTAATATATATCTATATATATTTAGAGACACTACAAACACTCCGATGTTAAGTATTTTATTTTGTCCATTACTAAACTAGACATCTGTCCTTTTCTGATATTTGGAATTGGTTTCCATTTTTAATTTAGTTTTAATATTTAGAATGTGTTAGTTATATTTAGATCACAAATAAATAAACCACAAAATACACATACTATTTTTCTGTTCTTCCCCAGAACTGTCAGCAAATTGATAGATATAAGCAGAACTAGCCTCAAAAATTCAAGAAAAACATCTGCAGAGCAGATGAAATTATTTTAAGAGATATTCACTTTTTTGAGATTGAGTTCTGCTTTCCGGGTAAGGGAATGCCTGCTTTGCAGCCTGGGGTTAAGCACCTCTGTAGATAAATTCTTGTGCTTAATGTTTCTCATTAATTAACTTCAGGCATACCCTAATGAGAATATTAGGTACATAGACTCCCATTAGTCAACAGAGCAAGGTAGAGTATTTTGTCTTCAAATTGTTTTGCAAAGGAGTGTACTCCTCTTCACAGAGAAAGGTTATTACCTGCCTACAAAGGACATCTGCTTGATAAGCCTCAAATAGAATATAGCTTCCTTTATAATTATGAAAATTGAGAAAAGATACATTTTCATATTGAATTGACTGTACTTTTCAGAAACATCAAAAATCTTTTTAAACAAATCAAATTCATTTTTCAAGGGTGGTGGATACAAATTTCTGGACAGCCAATCCCAGTCAAATTTACTTGTAGGCTTTCAGCTGAGCTGATGGAACATACAGATTTGTCTACATTATAAACAAAATGTTCAGAATCCTCAAAAATTATCTAAACATGAATTACAGATAATAAGAGAAAATATGTGCAGGTAATTCAAAGATGATAACCGTATTTCTGCATATCACTGGCATATTTTCAAAAAACTGTCAAAGTTCCAAAAGGCGTTAGTTTTAATTCTGTATAATCAGTCTTTTGAATTCTGTATTCAGATCCTAGATGAAGAATATTCTTAAATCTCCAAGTTTACTGCACATGCAGAGAAAATAGCACATCTCACACAACTAGTTAAAATGGCATGGATTTATTTATGCATATAGACACAGATTATTAAATATAATTATCTATCTAGCCATCAGCTTCATCTAACATAGTTCCAACATTTTAATTGGAATTAAGACTCATGAGACTGTGCCTTATTGATTCATTAACAACTGCATCAAGTGTACTGTCAAGCATAAGGCTAAAGTTTGCATACTCCAAGCCGCCGGAGAGATTTATTAATAAATCACTTCAAAAAAACTCAGTGTAGGTCATTATTACAATATGGCATAGAATTATTACATATGGCTTATAAAAATGACACAACAACATCTTTGGAAAATTTTCCAATTGTTGAAAAGAACTCTCAAGGGAGGAAATTGACAAGTTATATAAAAAGATAGGTGACACAGAGACCAGGAGCTGAGCAGCTGAGACTTTCTTGCACTTAGACTGTAAGGGTATAAAACCTATTGGTTCTTTTGTTTGGGGTCCCTCCTCAGAGGCACCCAACTCAAGCTTTTATTTTGTTTCTTAGTTATTGCAACAGCCTGTCAATATTTCAATCTGTTAAGCAAATACTTGGCTAACTTGAAAAATTAAAGACAACACCAATTTTCTCTGCTTTTGTGGGAATTTTCTTATATCCCATTAACAAGCTAACACCTACTGAATGCCAAAAGGTCAGACTTAATAATTTCAGGTTCCTGCCTACAGTTCCTTTGTGCCTTTTTCCTTTCACATGTGCCAACCATGAACACTTAATGAACTCCTTCTTTACCTTATCTCACCTAGACTTTGTCTCACTGTTTTGAATCCAAGACTTCTGCTTGACATTTCCTTCACTGTTTAATTATTTTTATCCAATACTCTCACAAATTATCTTAGCTTTCATTTTTCTTTCCAACAGAAAAAAAAAATTAGAGAATACTGTATACAGAAACATCTGATGTTTCTGAATTAATGTAACAAACACACTTTGCAGAAGAGGTATCTTGAGTTAGTTACCTTTCAGTAGACTCTATTACTTATCTGTTAATGCTGCCTTTTACACTGTACCCAACGTCATTTTACAGGAAAACCATTTCCCTCACTGATTTGACAAATCAGTCTTGAAACGATGCTTTTAATTACTTTGTTTGAAAGAAAAAAAATTAAAGTTTCTTTATGTTCTAACATTGTAGAAGCAACACAATGAATAGTAAAAGAAGAGCAAAATCATTGAAACACTGTTTGTTTAAAGAGGTAACTATACAGCTAACATGAATGTGTCATTTTATATTAGTAATTGCAAAATGTCCCTGAGTAACACATTTTGAAACTCGCATCTTAAGTTACTATGCAATGATTTCTCTTGTTGACATGACCCAATTTCATATCTTTGCTTAGGGAGAGGTCCAGGTCTTTCTTTGCTTTTTTTTGCCCTAACATTGACAGCTACCTCAAGAATGATAGTTCAATGGAAAAGCCACGTTAACTCATTTCTGTGTCTGGAAGAATGAAAAAGTATTTATACACCTAGACCCTTTTTGTTGTTTCCTATAATCTTGGTACTTTTACCCCAGCAGACCTCTGTTAATCAGACACAACACCCACATGGATAACGCATTCAAGTTCTCTCTCCATGGCATCCTAAGTGTAAAAAGTAGGATACCATGAGTACAGCTTTCTTGTTGCAAAGTGAGAATGGCAGCCAACACATGTTCACTTAGCTCATGTAAAATGAAAGTTAGAGAAGAAAAAACTAAACCTACAACCAGTTACAGGATTTACGATTATTTCTCATTCCTCAGTTGAAAAATGTCATGACTGGTATTTTCCTCCTTGACATTAATTTTTTATGAATACAAAGAGTTTATGAAACATTTGTTAAGAAGAGATTAAGGGAGTCAAGTATATTATTTTAGGTACTATTTTAAGGACCTTTAATTATCAAAGACATTCATAATAGGCTGGACATATGACATCCACAGAAGATTTCTGTTCTTCAGTAAGAACTAATGGAGTTCAGACCAGGCAAGGCATTTAAGATGTTGCTAGATATCTGCATTCAGTCATGAATATTGCACTCAGTGTCTCATGAATCAAAGGTCATAGTCACAGTAGGTTGTGAATATAAGTGTTCCTATAAAATCGAAGTTTTAAAAAAAAATTGATCGCCATTTATTATTTTTTGAGGTAAACCTAAGGGAACATTCTGGTCACATATATCATTTTACTCCACGCTCTAATTCTTATGTGCACAATTATTATTTAATATAAACAAATATTCTTATAATTGAAGCATGTTACTTAAGTCACTGAATATAGTATTTTCAGCAGTATTAGTCAAAAATCATATAAAAAC